GCCTACCAGCTGTTTATAATGCAATGTTACGCAGCCCCCAGTTCAGGGCTAGCAGCCCTCTGAATTGGCACTGCCCAGCCCCTAAATGGTCAGCTCCTCGAAGAGAACTTCCTGCTCTTGAGGGACAAAAATTCCACCTCCAGTCTATTCGTGGCCAACTAGCAGTTAAATGGCTGCTATGTTCTTTAAGGGGCAGGTTCCCCCAACATTTAAGTGTCGAAAAAAAAAGGCTCACTAACAGAAGGAAATCTGCCATCCTTATCTGGTATGGCCAACTCCAGATCCACGACAATATGGTTGATGCTTAACTGATCTCTGAAATGGACAAGTTACGCCAATCCGTTTAAGGAAAGTTAGGAGTGGGCAACTGGTGTTGGCCTTGTCATCCCATCAGAGAACAAAAAAAAACACAGGGCAATGAATTCCTGGCCCTTAGCTATTGTTCTTTTTGGTAAAGGGGGGAGGACATAGGGTCAGTCTCCTTCGTACAGCAGCAAAATGTCAAGCCATTTTCTGGCTAAGGCAGAGGAAAGGTGTCACTGGTGCTCTGCAGGGTTAACTGCAAAAAAGAGAAAGGAGGACCCCTCACAGAATTTGAGCCCCATCTACCCATCTCTCGAACTTCTATTCCAGCAACATCTGGTGAGTACCAACCCACTTGTACCAAGATTGTCACATTTGCTGGCAAACATGTGACGAAGTGGTGAGCAAGGCAGTCACTGATCCTCCATGTTACTTCTGTAATATTGCAATGGACCAATGGCCACCGCCATGCCAAATGGAAGGCAGGTGCCTTCCATGACGAGAATAGATTAAACTAGGGAGTGTTATCTCACTCTCCCACCCATACAATTCGCAATCGTTGGGCCTCTAGATCACAGTTGCTTGATGTCTGGCAGAGTACAATCAAAGGCTTAGAAATGAAAGGCATGCAAGCTCCTTGACATCAAAAAGAGCATTTGTAAGAGTATGATCAACACTGAAAGGGATTCACAGGGAATACAGTTTTCATTCATTCCCCAGAGGGTATGGTATCTTGGAGATGTAGAACATGTATATTTCCTTCGACACTAAACCAACCTTAAACATCGTCACTGCAGCTCACTGATTCTGTTTGTTATGTTCTCCTTACCAAAGTAGCTCTCTTGCTCCCTCCCTCTGTTGGCATCCTCTCTCCTATTTCACTTATCATCCCCCATCTCCTTCAGTGATTTATTCATTTTCCTCGATCACTGTTCCAGAACAAATGTATCCTCAATAATGTCCAAACTTCACGCCCACTCAGAAGTACTTATGGTAATTAGAAAAAAAATCTCTAAGTCTCATGCACTATAAACCTAACCAGCCCTATGTGGCAGCAACAGATAAGTTAAGTAATAAGTTGCCTTGCTTATTCGGGGAGTAGAATAGGATTGCACAAGGTTGTGCAAAAAGCCCCATCTGACAGAGTGTAGATTAAACTTCATTAAAGATAACAGGATTACGTTTCGAGAAGTATTTCATTGGCTATAAAGTGCTTTGAGATGTATGGAATCATGAAAAACAGCATATAAACGTAAGTCTTTCTTTCCTTCAGTCACCTCCATATGGAAAATATAATTGATCAAGAGTAGAAGTGATAAGGATCTGGGTTTTGGAAATATTTATCATCAGAAATTGTTAAGGAAATGAATGGTCATTTTCCTTCGAAACAGACAGCGACATCAAGCTGAAGTTGAAGATCTCTGTAAACAATATAAATTCAAGCAGTGGAGGCTGGCGTCGAAGTTTTCAGATAGTGTCAATTGACAGGATACCATTTGTGGATGTGAAGGTTTGCACCATAACATAAGGCGACAAACAGACTTACAGCATGGAGCAAATAATGCCTCTGATGTTCAAGGCTGTAAAGCACAAGGTGGTTCCTCTTGGTGGGATGAAAGGAAAAGAGAAACTGATTCCTTGAGAGGCAAGGTGCTAAATGGGGCAAAGCTGCAAAGAGAACAGGGATAGAAAGAACTTCAGGCCAATTTCCAAGTCAAAAAACTTTTAACTGCCTGCAAGGTTTAGTAGAATATTATTATCCAGGTTCAATTGCTACACATCAGCAAACTGTAAATATGGCCACAATAATATCATGCTTATTTGCATCGAGAGTATGAACACTGTAGAATAACATTTGCAAAATTAGTTTATTCAGTCTTAATGCATTGTTGCTTCTGTTCCTTCTGTAAACAGTATTAAGCTCCTGAGGCCACGGTCACCATTTCGACGTGAAAACATTGCCAGAACAACCCAGACAGATCATTTCCGGAAACCTAATGAAGGCTGCCATCCAGAATTATTCTGCTTCCCATGATCCTGCTCAAAACATATCCCTTCATTACATTTCAATGTTGAGGAATTTGACAAACTATTTACAACAGACACCCACCCTTGTGACTTTCTTGAACTCAGTGTGTCAGCGTCACAGCAGAATCAGGAATCAATTCCCAACAGGATCAGTTACATTGTCAACATTTCCTGCACCTTTTTCGGAAGTATTCCATTGGCTGTAAAGCGCTACGACACATGCCGAGGTCATGAAAGGTGCTAATTAAATACACCTTCTTTCTTTTCCTCCCCCACGCCCCAAACAATTCAATTTTCACTAGACTTACCCAAACCCTCCCCCTCCACAAATTTGTTAAAAGAAACAAAACAGGAGAAAGAAAAACTTGCACAGTTGGAGGTCAGCAGTCACTTTCACACTCCTATCAGTTCACTCTCATCCTGAACCCTATTATTCCCAAGATGCATTTATATCCCAAGTGGATGGCATGGTGGCTTAGTGGCTTAGTGGTTACCACTGCTTCCTCACAGCACCAGGGACCCAGGTTCAATTCCACCCTCGGGTGACCGTCTGTATGGAGTTTGCACGTTCTCCCCGTGATTGCGTGGGTTTCCTCCGGGTGCTCCAGTTTATTCCCACAGTCCAAAGATGTGTGGGTTGGGTGGATTGGCCATGGTAAAGTACCCATAATGTTTAGGGATGTGCAGGCTAGGTGAATTACCCATGCAGTGTTACAGAGGCTGGGTGGGATGCTCTTTGGAGGGTCAGTGTGGACTTGACTGGCTGAATGGCCTGCTTCCACACTGTAGGGTTTCTATGATTCTACTGTTGGGTTAATCTATTCTGCATAACTGGCTCATTATCACAAGCAGAGCGACCCAGTTACCAGCTTAAAAATAAGGACACAAAATATCCAACCTCCAGTCCGTGAAACACGTCAGTTCTGGGGTTTCTTCTTCAGGAATCTTGGCCACAATGTTGTGTGACCTCACTCCATAGAGGAGAAGCTCAACATGACCACGTCCTCATTGCATATTCATAAAACCTCAGAGATTAGTTGTGAGAATCTTTCAGAGTAGGAGAAAGCACTGAAGCAGGCCTTTATGCCCATCGTGTTCGTTCTTGCCCCTCCCACAAAGACTTTTACCTCGAGGATTCAGCAACTTTGTACCTCTCGCGTTCGCAAAGACCAGGAAGTTGAATTACTGTCCAAATTAAAGTAGAGATTCTCGTGAGAAAATGACCATCTGTTTCCCTGGGATAAAACAAAGAGCTGCAGGTGCAGAAGGTCTGAAACAAAAGCAGAAATTCAGACCAGCATTTACTGCCCATCCCTAAGGCTAAGAAGTAAAAATAAAAGCTGAAACAGGAATCCAAAGTAACTGGATCCTGTGACGTCCTGGTCTTAATGAAGAGGGGGTAGGGGGGAACAATCATCCCACTCCAGGGAAGCGGATGAAACAAGAACAGATAATGCTGGAGAAACTCAGCACGTCTGGTAGCATCTGTGTAGAGAGAAGCAGAGTTAACCCTTCGAGTCCAGTGACTCTTCATCATATTGTTCTTCTTATTAGCTAGCCTTTAGGGATGGGCAATATAGTCTAGCCAGCGACACTCACATCCTATGAACAAATAACAAAACAAAGCCTATGACATGACCATAACACACCTCCTCTTGGGAGTCAAACTGAAACCAGTCCTTCTAATATTACGGATCAGTCAATGTATCCCGTACCTTCTGAGATCTGTTCACATACATCCCCAAGTCTCTTTCTTCTTGTGCCTCCTTTATACCCATCCCATTTACAGTGCCTTGTCATTCTTTCTACCCAAATGCATCACAGTATACTTCTCTGCAATAAAATTTAATTTGTCATGTTTCTCCTTTTTGCTCCAGACTGCGTCATCAGAAGTTTATTACTTTTCTCTGTGTTTACTAAATTCCTATGTGTTGTGTCATTCAGATCCTAAGAAGTTACATCCCATGCACTGAAGTCCTGGCCACAAACTTATTTCACATCCCAGTTTGGTGCTGTTTCATCACATCTTCCTCTAAGGGCCTTCTGTTTTCGAGGCACAGTTCCACATGCAACAGTAGATTCCAATCTTCAACGAGCTTCTCATTCAGCCTCTTAGTCACCGCAGGAGCATGAGAATATTTTCAATGCCTGGCCAGTCTCGGTCAGACCAAAACTCACTTGCTGGTTGTAAGATTGATTCCTCACCTCCGGCAGTCACTATGAACCTTACTGTTATGTCATTTACTCACCATGTGCAACCAATCTCCAGAAAATTAAGCCTCATAAGCTCGACAAACAATGCCATGGTGTCAGCCAGACTTCAGTTGGTAGCACCCTCAATTTAGAAACAGATGGTTGAGGGATCGAGTCCCCACTTTAGAGATGGCGGATTTATCATCCTGCGTTGGGATCCTGGTGGCAGGTTCCAATGGTGTCCTGATACCTTATCATACCAGGATCTGACATTAGATGGAAATTTGAACTAGACTGGCCCACTAATGGCCCAAGAGCTTGCTATGCCCAATTTGCTTGGCCACAGATCTCCCAGACTGATAAGGTTTATGGACAACACTTTAATAAAATGTATGCTATTGGTTGCAAGTTGCTTTGGGAGTTTGCGAAACAAAACTGATGTTATAAATGCAAGTTCTGCTGTTCTCTGTACTTACCGGAGAGTCAGTGAGACCAAACACATCTCGAACATCCCGGACAGGCTGCTTGTTCTTCCTCCGGGTGGTCTGGGTGTAGGTGTCCAGTCGGCGCTGAACGGCTTCAGCCTGAGCTCGGGTCAGTGTGGACAACAGCGCCATCCCATCCTCTCCTGCAGAGCCTGAGACCAAGGTGGAGAGGCCTACCTCCTGTAACCACTCGGCTTCCATCTCCCCCTCTGCAAAGTAACATACGGTCACGTTTATTAAAGTTTAAAAACCCAACAATCTAAAGCAGGAAGCTTTAAAAAGAAAAAACATGAGAGAACATTGCAGGCATTCAGCCAGTGTCTGTAGTGTACAGATTTACAGCACATGTACAAGCCTTGCAGGCTAGGCCGCTTGTGCTCCTCATTGTCCTCTTCCCATTCCTCTTCATTTTAAGCGACCTGATTACCGAAGTTAAACAAAGAACTGCAGATGCTGGAGATTTGAAACAAAAACAGAAATTGTTGGAGAAACTCAGCAGGTCTGGCAGCATCAGTGGAGAGAAAGCTTCTGATGAAGAATCGCCAAACTCACAATGTTAACTCTGCTTTCTCCCCACAGGCACCGCCAGATCTGTGAGATTATCAAAGTACATGGGAGAGGGAAACGATGGCTATCCTTCAGGGAGGATGGGATCCTTCAGTAATTGACTAAACCTCTCTCTATGGAATGATATTGTTTGAGAATATTTTCCAGTCCTTACTCAATTTTTTTTTATATTAGAAGATAAGAACTAGGAGCAGCAGTAGGAAATTCAGCTCCTTGAGCCTGCTCCACCAATTCAGATGATCATGGATGATCTTATCTCAACGCCACTTTCCTGCCCTTCTCCATAACCCTTCAACCTGAATAATCCATCTATCACCTCCTTAAATTTATTCAGTGTCCTGGCCTCTACCACACCCTGGGGTAGTGAATTCCACAGGTTCATGACCCTTTGACAGAAGTAATACCCCCTCACCTCTGTTTTAAATCTGCCAGCATTAAACTACGAACTCTCATTCTAGACTGTCCCACAAGGGGAAACACCGAATCTACTTTGTCAATCCCCTTTTATATGCCTGAATGATATTTCCTCTTAAACTTCTAAACTCTTACGAACGAAGGCCTAAATTGCTCATTTTCTTTTCATAAGATGTAGAAACATAGCAAATAGGAGCAGAAGTAGGCCATTTGGCCCTTCGAGTCTGCTCCACCATTCATCATGATCATGGCTGATCAGCCAGCTCAACAGCCTGTTCCCATTTTTCCCTTATATCCTTTAGCCCCTTTAGCCCCAAGTGTTACATCCAACTCCTTCTTGAAACTATTCAATAGTTTGGCCTCTACTGCTTTCTGTGGTAACAAATTCCGCAGGTTCACCACTCTCCGGGTGAAGAAATTTCTCCTCATCTCAATCCTAAATGGCCGACCCCTGGTTCTTGAATTGCCTGTCATCAGGAAAAGATAAGCCTTTCATATCTGGAATTAATCGAGTGGACGTTCTGTGAACTGCCTCCAATGCAGTTACTTCCTTTTTCAAGTAAGGGGACCAAAACTGTGCGCAGCACTCCAGGTCTGGTGTTAAACCTCATCATACAGTTAAGCAAAGATGGCAACTATTTTGACTTGTCAGCGATTGGTCAGCTGTGTGTATTGATGGTTCTGGAAGTGGAGAGGCTCACAGTGATTGAGGTCCCAATCTCACTGAAATGTGGCAACCAAGCACCAAACAGGCTTTTACTAAAGAAAAACAAAGTGCTGGAGAAGCTCAGCAGGCCTCTATAGAGAAAACAGTCCAGGCCATTCTCACAAAGTGGCATTAATGTTAACTTTGTTTTTCTCTCCACAGATGCCAGAGTTCCTCCAGCACTTTCTGTTTTTGTCTCAGGTTTTCAGCATCCGCGGTTCCTTGTTTTTATTTTAGGCTTTTATTGAAGTTCATTCATGGGATGTGGGGGTCAGTAATGAAGCTCAGTGTTTATTGCTCATTCTCAACTACGCTGCAGATGGTGGGAGCGAGCCGTTTTCTTGAATCTAACCGAATGACTGCTAGGCCGTTTCTGAGGACAGTTAAGAGTCAACTACATTTGCGTGGACCTGGAGTCACATATCGGCCAAAGTTTCCTTGCCTGAAAGGACATCCGTGAATCATTAATGACAATCTGGTGGTTTTATGGTCATGATTATTGGGTTAGCTTATTCTCCTAGATTTATTAAGTGAATTTTATTTCCCTCACCGGATTAAAGGGAAGTGGACTCATCTCTTAAGGCTTCTGGATTACTCATCCACTCTTTCAACAACAACTGTATTGACAATAGCAAGTGGGGGTGGGTTGTGAAGTGAGCAGATGTTAATGTTTTATACAGCCGGCATGTGTCCCTGCTAGGGACTTATTTAGATACAATTGCTGCCATCAATTCTACCTGTAATACTTGCCAACCAGGCTAGTTTCCAGCAGAACTGACATCCAACTTGTGGCTCAGTGGTTGGCACTGCTGCCTCCCAGGGATCAGTTTCGATTCCAGCCTCAGGCGACAGTCTGTGTGAGTTTGCACATTCTCCCTGTGTCTGGGTTTCTGCTGGGTGCTCCGGTTTCCTCCCACAATCCAAAGATGTGTGGGTTAGGTGGATTGGCCATGCTCAGTTGCCTTCTATTGTGCAGGCCTGGTAAGTTAACCATGGTAACCCCCTTGTGGGGTTACAGGGATATTCTCTTCGAAAGGTTAGTGCAGACTCGATGGGCCAAATGGCCTCTATCTGCATTGTAGGGATTCTATGATTGTAGTCTTCAGCAGAACATGCATGCACTTTGTTTAGTCATATTCATAGAATCATAGAAACCCTGCAATGTGGGAACAGGCCATTTGGCCCAACAAGTCCACACTGCCCCTCCGAAGAGCATCCCATCCAGACCCATTCCCCCACCCCTGCAATTCCCTTATCTAACCCACCTAACCTAAACATCCCTGGGCACTATGGGCAACTTAGCATGGCCAATCCACCCTAACCTGCACATCTTTGGACTGTGGGAGGAAACCGGAGCACCCGGAGGAAACCCACACAGACACGGGGAGAACGTGCAAACTCCACACAGACAGTCACCCAAGGCTGGAATTGAACCTGGGTCTCTGGCGCTGTGAGGCAGCAGTGCTAACCACTCAGCCACCATATTTGGACCATAAGATGTAGGAAAAGAAGTAGACCATTCAGCCCATCAACTCTGCTTGTCATTCAACAAGATCACTGCTAATCTGATAATCCTCAACTTCACTGTCCTGCCTTTTCCCAAAAACCTTTGATTCCTTTACTGATTAAAAATCTGTCCCTGTCAGCCTGGAATATACTTAATCACACAGCCCTCTGCGGTAAAGAATTTCACTAATTCATTACCCTCTGCGAGAAGAAATTCCTCCGCATCTCTGTCTTAAAAGGGCAACCCTTTCATACCCTCTTGTCCTAGACTGTACCACAAGGGGAAACAGCCTTTCTGCATCTACCCTGCCTAGCACCCTAAGTATTTTGTATATTTCAATAAGGTCGCCTCTCCTTCTTCTAAACTCCAGACATTACAGCTCCAACCTACTCAACCTTCTAAAACAATCCTTGGTATCAACCTGGTGAATCTTCTCTGGGCTGCCTCCAATGCCAATATATTTTTCCTCAGATTAGGGACTCAAAACTGTTCACAGTATTCCAGCTGCGGCCTAACTACTGCTTTTTATAGTTTTAGCAAAAACCTTCTTATTTTTATAACTAGTCCTAAGCTAACGTAACCTAATAACTATATCACACTTGGGTTAGCCCAGTATCTCTTAGGAGATACTGATGTCTCTTAGTAAGTGCAGATAAGACTAAGAGACAGCTAGAACTAACTAGCTCCTCCCTGAGAGACAGTCTCTCAGTGTGTGGAGCTATACCAAGGCCTCAGATTTAACACTTTCAGGCTAACTATCTTGAACAACAGTTTTGACTTTCCTTTTAATGGCACTTGCACAAGAGTGGAATCTGTTCATTCTGCATATCTTTACAAAGTTGGTGCAACCAGGTCTCGTTGTCTTTTACAAAGATGTTCAATCACAATAGGGTCAAACAAAGCTAGACATCCCACAAATTTCAAGATGTTCCCATTACCAGCAGTGTGGGGGTATTCGTGTGTTTCCTGGAAGGCAGCATTCGCAAACCAAAAACTCACTCAACCAGTCATCATCAGATTTGCTGCTAATACTTTTTATCTGGTTTCTCAATCACAGTTCAAGTTCTTTCCACTTTTGAAAACTCTCCAAAATGTTCACTGCTCCTCTCCCGTGCTGCTAAAACTGCAAGCATATTTCTTTCAGAGTTTTGAACCTTTACCATAGAAAAAGGGATAACGTGCCACTAGTAAACAGCATGCAGCAGAAGCAAAATGCCAAGCTCTTTGTAGGCACTGACAATGCATTTCTTCTCCAATTGGCAAGCATTCCGTAAAGATTTGTTGAAAATTTTCTTCGATTACAATCTTGCAGGAAATTGAATTGCTGAACTTGTTCTGGCCCATGTTCCTGTCACACATGATTACTATGTGTTGGCCAACTAGCAGGCTCACCATAAGCCAAACTGACCACGCATGTGACAGGTCCTGATCCTTTCGATTCTTCATCTTGGTGGGTCTCTTCATTTGGTTCACCTTCTCCATTCACATGTTCTTCAAAATCAACTTCAATTTATCGAGACTGGAGGCGAGACTGTCATCCCAATGTCACTGTCCAGTTAATTATTTTCTTCTCCTTCCAGAGGCTGTGGTCAATATGCTTCAGAAAGGTTGCGTCAGAACTTGCTGCTCTGCTCTTTCGCCTTTTCAGCTTTCAGTTTACAGCATTGTGCAGCAATCTATTCGTTTCTATCTGTGTCTGCCATGAGCTGTATCTGTGTGACCTTAGGTTTCCCTGGGTTTGGTCTGACTAGTTAAGTGAGCTTCAGCTTCCTGTAAATGTCTGCCCTTTGGGAATATGTTTATCTACGCAATAGTTACTGCAGCCCTTTTCACGATTGTTAACCTAACCTTCACTTTTTTTTCCTTTTTAAAAATATAGATAAGAAGAAAGCTCACACCCTGGGAATAAAAGTGTGCCTTGCACTCACATCACATACTGCATGTGCACAGTCTGCCCTGTCTCCTAAGCTGTCAAGTAACCCTTCCACTTCCCTTTTATTGTCCACCTTTCATTGATTCAGAGGTCTCCAATTTAAAGATCATGCCTATTGACTCAGAGCTGCATGGAGGGCACAGGAACAAGAAGTCCTCCCACTGCTATCACAAAGAGGGGGAAGGGGTGAGAGCAGCTAACTGAATCGCACCGATGCCTACTTGTGCCCAGTTAATCTGATTACAATGGCTTTATAAAAGCAATCGTTCACATGGCAGCAGAGGGGGCAGAGAACAGCTCATTGGGGAGGGGGAACCGCACATATGCTGAGTGTGGGCAGCAGCTGAAAAAATGGGCTGAATGGCAGCCCTGAGCAGCTCAGTTAAAGTCACATCAATACAAGTGGAGTGACAAAGAATGAGCTGTTACTGAGCTGAAGGAATAGGCTCCAAGATTTTCACAGGACAGCGGTGTGTGTGCGTGTGTGAGAGAGAGAGAGAGAGACAGCACGTCTGTGTGTGAGCTTGCGTGTGTATGTGTGTGAATGACAGCATGTCTGTGTGTGAGCCTGTGTGTGTATGTGTGAGGGACAGCATGTCTGTGTGTGAGCTTGTATGCATGTGTGTGTGAGAGACAGCATGTCTGTGTGTGAGCCTGT